CAATTGGTTGCCTCCCATGTGAGCCCCAAACCCACAACCTAGGTATGTGCCTTGACCGGGGGTCAAACCCGCAAACTTTTTGGTGCACAGGATGATGCTCCAACCAACTGAGCCAGGGCAGATGGCAGTTTCTTAAAAAGTTAGACATACACTTACTATAGAACCTATAATCACACTCCTGAGCACTTATTCTAGAAAAATGAAAACAAGTTCACAGAAAAACTTGCACGTGTATGTTCATAGCAGCGTTATTTGTAATCTCCCCAAACTGGAAACTACCCAATACCCTTCCATGGGTGTGTGGTTAAGCAAAATGAGATATGTCCATCTGATGGAATAATACTCCGCAATAAAAATGAACAAACTATTGATACATATAACAACTTGAATGGATCCTAAGGAACTTATACTGAGTGAAAAAGGCAACCTCAAATGGTTACCCACTGTATGATTCCATTTATATAACATTCTCAAATGTCAAAAATCTAGAGATGGAGAACAGATCAGGGGTTGCTAAGGAAACCAGGGAAATCAGGGAAGGGAGTGACTATGAAGGATCTCTCTATGAGAGATCCTTTATGACAATAGAATAGTCCTGTATTTTGATTGTGGTGGTGTTTATATAAACTTGTATCTATGATAAAACATCATAGAACTATACACGAAGACTTATAAAAAATGAGTGCATGCAAACACTGGTGAAATCCAAGTAAGGTACAGACCTTACCAGTCTAACTGCCAGGTACTAATGTCAGTTTTCTCATTTTGGTAATGCACTGTAGTTATGTTAGATGCTATCATGGGGAGAACTTGGGTGGGGGGTACAGTAGGCATCTCTGTAATATCTTTGCAGCCTCTTGTAAATTTATAATTATTTAAAAATGAAAAGAAAAAGCCATTTCCAACGACAACAAAAACCATTACAGAAGAACACAAAGAACCGAATAAACAGAGAACTTTGCCGTCTTTTTGAGTAGGAAGTCTCAAAATCATGAACTGGAAATACTTCTTAAATACTCAATCAATTCAATGCAATTCCATAAAACATTTTATAAAACTTTTTGTTTTCAAAAAAGTTGTCAAAGAATTTGACAAGCTGCTTCTAAGACTCACACAGAAGGATTGAGGGCAAGACTTCCAATGCGGTATAAGGACCGTGAGAGCAGAGACATTCATCTCTTTTGTTTAATTCCACATCCCAGAGTCTAGAACAGTACCTGGCACCTAGTAGGTGCTCAAAAACACTTGTGAACAAATGAATGACAACTTAGAAGATGAAGGACAATAAGAGAAGGAGGAAAGTTTTACCATATCAGATATTAAGGCCTACAATAGTTTTAGCCCATAAGATAGGCTCAGAGGTAAATACAAAGACCAATAAAACAGAACGTAGAATTTAGAAACAGATTCATATACATATGAAAACTTGTTATATACTAGAGGATGCACTATCAATCAGTGAGGAAAGGATAGACTATTTAAATAACCGTGCTTACGTACAAAGCAAGATAAGATGGTGGCCACCCAGAAGTCAAGAGAGGCGACCTCAGGATGGGACCTACCTTGCTGGGACCCCTCTCTTGGACTTCCCAAACTCCAGAATGGCTCCTAATGCCCCTGATGGGATGCTACTCCAGACATACTGCCCAGTGACTTTTTGCAAATGTATCACAGGGAATGTGTGGAGAGTACACAGATGTTGGGCAAGGCAGAAGCCCCGAGACAAGCCAGAGGACTTCGCAATAATCCAGCCACTGTCCCTGGACTTGCTGAGCCGTAGAATGTGAACTGCCAGAGAGAAGGCTGCCGCCACAGCTGGCGTGCCTTGGTTCCATTTCCAGCAAACTGTGGCAGATAAACTTCATCTCTGTGTCCGCTGTCCCTAATCTTTCTGTAAAAAAAACCCTCAGCTTGTCAACATCTTTATATAGCGGGATATATCTCCAACCGTCTGTAATAGCCACAGTAGCCTGTTGCGTCACATCCTTTTTATTTTCTTAGGTGTTTGAATATCAAAGGGCCAGTTAAGGTGTTAAAAAAATGATGTTTTACAAACTTATTTCCAATATTCTCATCTACCACAGTTGTGAAAATATTAAAATTTTTAAAGCTATAAATAAATAAATAAATAAATATCCAACCATGCTTAAAGAACTGGCTATTTATATGAAAAAAATTAGATCCTTGTTGGTATTTTTTAAATAGAAAAAGGGTGCTTATTTATTTATTAACCTTACTTTTATTGTTGACACTATCACAGATGTCCCCGTTTTCCCCTCCTTGCTCTCCTCCATTCAGCCCTCCCCCCTCCCTCAGGCCATCCCCACACCGCTGTCTGTGTTATGGGTCCTGCTTACATGTTCTTCAGCTGATCCCTTCACCTTCTGTCATCCTGACCTCCCAGCCCCTCTGACAGCTGTCAATCTGTTCCATGTATCCATTCCTCTGTTTCTGTTTTGTTCACAGGATTCTGCATATAAGTGAGATCATATGGTATTTGTTTTTCAGATCCTTATCAATATTAATTAGGATTTGCATTCTGTTACAAGCTTTATGAAAGTGACCTAACCAGAAATTATATCTTCTCTTGCAAAAAAAAATTATAGAAATAAACAAAAGGAAAAATTTAAGTTAAAAATAAACAAACGTGTCCAGAGGTAGGCTGGTGCAGCGGCCCCACGATGTCACTAATGCCCAGATTCTCCATCTGTCCTTCCCTCCGCAATTCTCAGTTTGCAGCGTCTCTCCTCAAGCCTCTTACCTCATGGCGGCACAGGGTGATTTGCTGCTAGTCCACATTCGTTTTTCAGAAAAGAAGTGACACAGAGAGTGTCAGAGCAAACCAGCTCTAACTCCAAAATCTGCACTGCCTGACACACACTTGTATTTCTGATACAAGAGCTCCTACTCACATCTCATTAGTCATTCATTCAGCACCTAGTGAGTGAATATTTCCTATGCCGATCATACTGCTTCCTAATCATTTATTCATGTGCCGGTCTCCTAGTGCTCCCACAGCACATCTCTCTAATGGAGCACCCCCCACAACCAGAGCTGGACTCCACCTATGTTCCACAGTGTCCAACACCCAAAGCAGGCAGCAGGAGAGTTCAACTGTGGGGTAGGAAGGGTCAGATCAAATTATATTGTTTATACAGATGTATTTCCTAATGGCTGGAAAACAAGGCCAGGCATCATTTTATTTGTGGAACTCAAATCAAATTACCAAGAGGCAAAGGCCCACACAAGAGGAAGTCCAGCAGATAATTGACTAATCAGAATTATCTTCTCATCTTGTTTAATTCCAAGGTATTAAAAAAACAGCTGTTTTGTGATCAGTTCCCAATCTAAAAACATAACTGACTTTTTCCCAAGAAACACCAATGCCCCTGGCTTAATTGAGTCTGAAAGCTCTGTCTATATCCAAGAGAAACAGAGCTGAAGGCCAGCAAATGTATCTAAGGGTAAGGAGTAGAAGATAGCATAGGAGACATAAGCCGAGGGACATCAAGGAGATACCTAAACATACTTGGAACAACAAGAGGTCTTCCTGGACACGTGTTCCAGTGGCTGGCCTGCTCGGGAGGACCCACCCATGGGCTTCCTGGGCCAGTTCTTTGAATACTAGCAGCTACCATTTACTGAGCCATTGCTGCATGCCAGATGTTGAAGTGAGCACTTAGTGAATTACCTCATTTTCATTCTTAGAACAATCTTACAAGTTCATAATTGGTACCCCCATTCATAAATGAAACTAAAAGTCAGGGAGTTGCAGTGATATGCAGTGAATGTAAAAGCTAGGATTTGAATCCCCATGGATTTGATTTGACTCAAAGCTTCCGCTCTGAATCCTTAACTATCTTCACAAAACCACTTTCAGGTACCGAACTTTTCGGACTATAAGACACACCGGACCATAATACACACCTTGGTTTTAGAGGAGGAAAACAGGAAAACAAATTTTTGAAGCAAAATTGTGGTAAAATATTTAATAACATAAATAACATAGGCCGCCACCCCTCCTCACCCCCACAGCAAACCAGGTAAGCTACATTCAGACTATAAGATACACCCCCTTTTCCTCCCAAATGGGGGGGAAGAGTGCGCCTTATAGTCTGAAAAATACGGTATCTGTTATTGCCTCCACTTCTCAAATGAGGTGATCAAGGCCCAGGAAGGGCCCAGCTTGCCCATATGGCACAGATAGTAAGTGTCAGAGTCAAATCAGGCCTTTCTGACTCCCAAATCTACTCTACCCCCCAGGCAGAGGAAGACCAAAGGCCAGGGGTCAGGGCGGTGCCAGAAAGCCCCTACATGTCAGGCCCTACCCTCTCCTAGGACACTGCCCCTCTGTTTGTCATCCACCCCAACCTCACCACTGAGGCCTCTTTCGAGAATCTCGTTTTCACTGCCTCTCTCCCAGTGTTACCCCTGAGCTGAATGAACAGGGACTAGGTGGTTCTTAGGAGGCTCTGAGACACCCCTTCCCCTAAAAAAGGAACAGCCAGAGTACCACCAGCCTGGTGGTCCCCCTCCCCACACGTATGAGCAAGGCTTGCACACGAGACTGTAAATGGTTGGATCAGGAGCCAGCCAAATTGGGTTCAAATCCAGTGACTTTGGCCAATAACAGTAACTCCCTTTTTTTAAAAAAAAAAAAAGTGTCTATCCTGGGACAGACATTTCACTAGTGGTTTCCTCCATGATTTTTACAGTTACCTCCCCCTACTCCCTTAATGGGCCCTATTTTACAGAAGAGAAACCAAAGGCCCCCGAAGGGAAACGACCAGCATGAACACAGCAAGTAGCAGGAGCCTAGGACTTGAACTCACGTCGGCCCCAGATTCTGCTGTTGCCTAGGAGCGGAGGAGGGAGGAGGTGCTAGAGTGGAGGGAGGAGGGAAAAGAGAGAGGGCGAGCTCCCAGCAGCGCACGCTGACGACAGCAGGTGATCTGCAGCGCGCTTTCTCTCAGTCTTTCCCGGATTTTTTTTTCCCCCTGCTGAGTGGCAGAAAAGGGTGGGGCCGCTTTCCTGCAGCAGAGACGGCGGCGGCAGCAGCTGCAGCATCATTGGGAGCGGCGGCAGAGGCAGCAATGCTTGGCCTCTGCTGGAGGTGATCTCCTCCGAGCCCTGCTAGGTACCCGGCTGCGACGGGACGCCGGCGGGAAGGAGAACAGAGGCTCATCCGCGGGCCCCGCTGCCACACTGTCCTGCCCTTCCTCTGCGCCATGGCTTAAGACCGCGGCCACTTCGCCTCGCGTCGCCTGGCTTGGCCGGGGTGTGAGCGCCGCCGCAGCCGCAGGGAGGGGCGCGCCCCAGACGCCTTCGCCTGGGGACTGGGGACGTCCTGTCTCTCACCTCCGGTACCTGCAGCAGACTGCGTTCCCAAGACCTTTGCAGTCGGTAATCGAGGGACTTCATCTCCATGACAGCTTTGCTGCCCTGACCTTCCCGGGCGCTCTCTGAGGGAGGAGGGCGAGGTACTCAGGCCACCAAGGAAAAAAACGGTGGGAATCAGATTGGCTGGTCAAGCGCCAAAAGACTGAGGAAGATTAGAGACTTGCTTTAGAAACACAAAAAGAAGGGAAGACCAGCTTTGCAGCTAACATCATGGCGTGGCCGTGCATCACGCGGGCTTGCTGCATCGCCCGCTTCTGGAACCAGCTGGACAAGGCGGACATCGCCGTGCCGCTGGTTTTCACCAAGTACTCGGAGGCCACCGAGCACCCAGGCGCCCCGCCGCAGCCGCCGCCGCCTCTGCAGCAGCCGCCGCAGCCGGCGCACGCGCCCCCCTCGGCGCGGGCGGTCGCCATAGAGACCCAGCCGGCCCAGGGCGAGTTGGATGCCGTTGCCCGGGCAACAGGGCCGGCGCCGGGGCCCGGTGGCGAGCGCGAGGCCGCTGCTGCCTCTGGTCGGAGCACAGTGGGCTCGGGCCCGGGCTCCGCCTCCGCCTCCGCCTCCGGCGCGGGCCCCGTGGACTCGGTGATGCGTCAGGACTACCGCGCCTGGAAGGTGCAGCGGCCCGAGCCGAGCTGCCGGCCGCGCAGCGAGTACCAGCCTTCCGACGCGCCCTTCGAGCGCGAGACCCAGTACCAGAAGGACTTTCGCGCCTGGCCGCTGCCGCGCCGCGGGGACCACCCGTGGATCCCCAAACCCGTGCAGATCCCCACGTCCTCCCAGGCTTCAGCGCCCATTCTCGGGGCGCCCAGGCGCCGGCCTCAGAGCCAGGAGCGCTGGCCGGTGCAGGCCGCCGCGGAGGCTCCGGAGCAGGCAGCGGGCCCTGGCGGAGCTGGTGCGTTCGCGGCGGGAAAGGCGGCGGGTGCGGAGGAGCGTGACCCACGCAGGAAGGCCGGGCCCGCCTGGATGGTGCGTCGCCCTGAGGGGCTGGGGCACGAGCAGACGCCGCTGCCCGCAGCCCAGGCCCAGGTCGCGGGCCCCGAGGGTGGCAAGGGGCGTGCAGCAGCTGATGCCCTCAATAGGCAAATCCGCGAGGAGGTGGCGAGTGCAGTGAGCAGCTCCTACAGGTGAGATGCGGGACATAGCTCCTGCAACGGGGCTGGTCAAACTTTCCTTCTACCAAAGACTGCCCAGGACTCAGTCTGCACATGGCAGACCTCACATCAGCCTTCCCTCCCATCCCAGGCCACACCCTCTCCCCAGCCCCATCCCAGGCACCCTGCCACCGCCGATTTCTTTCTGTTCTTTCCCTTGCGCCCTTTCCGAGGCCTGGCCTGGTCTTTCACTCTACCACCTCAGCCACCTGTTTTTCCCATCCGCCCTGCTACAAATCCCCACGCGCCCAACAAAGACCCATGGCAATTTTTTCACAGGCTGAGCTTCCATTCCGCCCCACTCAACTTCAGCTTATCAGCCGCATTAGTCTAGATGCTGCCTTTGCTGGCTCGGTTGCCACACACCAGCCTTGGTGCCTTCCCTCAGGGCCCCATCCTTCCAGAAGAAAAGTTCTTTCCCAGCGACCGACAGCCCTCCCCCAGCCCAGTTCACCTGGCCTTTCATTCTTCCCTCCACTCTCTCAGTCCCTGGGAGATACCCAAGCACCACACCCTTTTCTAGATTCCCGGAAGGAGGATCCATATAGATCACCCTCCTTCTAGCTGAGGCTTGGCAGTCAGACTCCTTAGGTTTCTTACTGGCTGTGATACATGGGGCAAGTTTTTTAACCTTTCTGGGCCTCAGGTTCTTACCTGATGTGATTGATAACAGATTGTTCTCTTAGAAGTGCTCACTCATTTATTAATTTAATATGAATATTCAACATATTTTTGAAAACCTACTCTATGCCAGGCACTATGCTAGATAGTGTGAGGATTAAATCAGATGGATCTGGAGAGAATTCTGCCTGGCACATTGTAGATGAATAGTGCGTTTTGGTCCCATTCCAACCTTCTACATGATGCCTCGTTATTCTGATTTTCACTTCCTAGATATGTCCAGCCGTCTCTCCTACCGCTGTGTCTTTTCTCCTGTCCCTTCATGTTCTACAGATGTGTCTTCCATCCTCTTACCACCAAGAACCTCCTTTTTAACACATTTAAGTTCTCTGAAAATGAATGTCTCTCTGTCTCCATTCCTCTAGAATTCTCCCTCTGCTGTAGTCTCAGCCCTTCCAGCCTGCTTTCTCATCCTTATATCCTATATGCATTTTTGAATGCTTAGCTTTCTGTCCTGCCCTTATGTTTCAACCCAAATCAACCAGTTAACAGATCACAATTGACGCTGAACACGTAACATTGGGCTTGGAGGTCTCTGGGGAAGCAAACTGAATGATGGATAATTGGGTGAAAGATGTCCAAAGTGTGGCTCATGGGGTCCTCCATCGATGCCACAACTACTTGCCTCCTGCAGCCTGGAGGGTGTGGCCAGGAGGACTGCAGGATTAGTGTCTTTTGCCAAGATCCTAGGTGCAGCCCCCTGGCAGGCTGACATTGCTATCTCCAGCGAACATAGCAACCACTTTATTATGTGCTGAGGGAAGAATAGCATAGATAGACAGTCTCTCTTGCTAAGACAAAATCCCCTCTCCTCCCAGGCTTTAACTCTGGAAAGCATTTCCCAGTGAGAAGGGGCAGCTAATGTGTTGGGCACGACTCCATCTTCCTGAATTCCACGTCCCACTTGGCATTTTTCTCTTGGTTTATTGTTACCATGACCACACTGATCCCCCAGGAGTGCACCAGTTCCCTTTGAAGCTCTGGTACATGCAAGAACACGATCCTTTTCCTTGATTCTTAGTCCTCAGGAGGCAAAATTTTCACAAATCTTTATGCTGCTACCAAGGGAGCATCAAAAAGAAAAGAAAGGAGGTAAATAAGCAACGGGCATAAGAAACAAAGCCAAGATGTAATTTTGTGGTTCTGCTATGACTTTCTTTCTTACAGGGTCTTACTCCATTCCCTGAGCACCCTAAGGTCACATATCCTTGGCCTGGCCTCTTTATCTTCCTACTCCCCTACTACGGCCCTGTGGCAGGTGGAAACCTAACACCCACCAGGCAGGAACTGCCTCTTCTCACTCCCATAGAGTCAGGGCCAATCAAGGGAGATTCCAGACTCTCACACCTGCTTGGGTGATCCCACTCAGTTTATGTTTCCCCGTGGGTGGGACTAGCTTTGTCCATGGATGGCTGGCCGTACAGTTAGGGACTGTACGCACCCTTCAGATACAGCTCACGCCAAATATTTGGCTTCTACATGTGTTATGTAGAGCCTCTTCCCCCCAGACAACACCTTAACTCTGCAGGAAGCCTGTCATGCTTTATGGTTAGAATCACACACATACTGTAAGTGATTGGATTGAATAGCAGAAGGCTACACTCTCATAGCCTATCCAAAAAAAAAAAACAAACCACAACCCTGTGAACTACTCAAAAATATTTTTTTCTAATTTGGATCTTCTATAAAATTTTAATATGCACATGATTTTGGGCAGCAGTTCCATTTTGCTGGATAATCAGAAAGGTTTTGAAATATTAAGAGAATGAGTATAGATAAGAGACATCAATTTCTTTAATGGACAGTATAAGTGCATGACAAATTTGATTTGAAATTTAACATATTTTGTGTGTTTCAGAAGAAAAATAAACCAGTAATAGGGAAATGCATTTTGGGTGAAAGTAGGTATGAAGAAATAAGATAATGAATTAATTTAAAAATGCCTGAAAATTGTAGGCTTATCAGAAACATTGATTTTCCTTCCCTATTGTTCTCACGTTCTTTTCCTTGCTATGATTGTGAATCTCTGGAGAGTCTATACCCTGAGTCTGCTGTCGGTGAGCCTCACCCACCCTTAGAAGCCAAGTTGGGTTCCATTTCAATGATAATTTCATTTACGAATCCTTTTCTTCTGCCACCCTACATAAATCATGGTGGTTTACCCCATGGTGACTGGCTTATCTCACGGGCTTTACAAAGGACATCTGCCACATGACATCAGTGCAGGCAGCTTGCTTAAATAAAGGACACATAATCCATCAGCTTAATTTATTGGTATATAATGTAAAATATGCATTCAGCATCCAGAGTCATATACATACTAATTGGTTTTTGCCTACAATATTCATTCAGTAAATTATATCAAATGTCTTTTGATGCTAGGGTTTTGAGAAACCTTCCCTATTTAACAGTTCATTTAATTCATAACTTACCCACACTACCCTGGGATTTTTGGCATTCAGATGGTATCTAAGGTATCTTTAGAATTATCCACAATCATGAGGTTGATTAATTTTCAATACACTCGTATTACACAGATGACATAAAATTGAGAAACACGTCTTTGTTATCATTTTTAATGTTAAGAATGGATTTCACTGGTCGGCCATTTATGACTTTAGACCTGGCATTCTCAAATATAAAATAAAGAGTCGCAAGGAGGGGATTTAAATTCCCCTCTCCGTCAGCCCGTTGCCCTCACCTCCCGTTAGTAGGGATAGATGGGGTAGCAGGTGCTCCCCACAGAAATGTTAATGAAACTTTTTCCTGGAAGAAATCAGCCGAGGCACCAGGAGGTAGAATTAATAAACCGGAGGCAAAATACTTGAAAAATGAGAGCCGTCACAAGGAAATTAGAAAGAAAAGAGCCCTCTAATGTGCGCCCCGCAGTCTCCGTGAAGGTTAGAGCAAGGCCCCCTGACCTGGCTGCGTCTGCGCGGTTCCTCGTTCGTGCTTCCCGGGAAGGCGCAGCGATACTTCGGGGCCACGCTTCAACGCCGCCTTCCAGGTTCTGCCCTTCAGAGTCAAATTTTCCTGTATTTCCTTTTTATGTTTCAAACACTTCCAAAAACACTTTGCTCTGTTTCTGCCTCCCCGACCAGATCAAGCACACTCGAAGAGAAGAGCTGTATTTCGTTCACTGTACACCTCTCAAACGTAATGTCGTTCCTAGGTGCTGTACAGGTTGGTTGAATCCGGTGGAATTGTTAGTGTTTGGTGAAAATTTTATCCCCCCACATACCGATTCATTTCATTCAGTTTCGTTTAGTTGAATTTATTTCAGAAAATGACCACCAAGCTCCTGCTGTATATCAGACATATTCCGGGGATACCAAATGGATCAGTCATAACCTTATGTAAGGACACTGTCTTAATCAAAGTCAAGTCCGTCTCCTACTAGGCTAGCACTAGCAGTAATCGTTCAAATGTGGAAGGGCAGCAAACCTCACAGACCCAACTCTCGCTTCACTCTCATCCAGGACCCTCAACCTTGGCTGCATGTTGGAATCACTGCAGAACTTTTAAAATGTTGTTGCGCAGCTACTTTGCCCAGAAATTCTGATTTAATTGGTCTGGGGTGTGGCCTGGGCATCTGAATTTTTAAAAACTGTCCCAGACAGATGATTCTCATGTGCAATTCAGGTTATGACCTTCTTCCCTAAGGCAAAGGTTCTCAAACTTTGGCACACGAAAAGAGTCATTTGGAGAGCTTTCTAAAATTCAGATTCCTGGGCCTCATCCTCAGACATGCCAATTCAGTATGTTTAAAATGGAGACTAAGAATCTACATTTTAAAAAGCACTGTAGGTAATTTTGATGCAAGTGAGCTTTGGGCTTTACTTGGGAAAACACTGCTTGGAAAGATTTGATATCTTTAAGGTTTTGCATTTTCCCACGTTGAAACATGGTATTGCTTGCCATTTACTTTAAGACTTTTATGTCCTTCACTTACATTTTGTAATTTTCTCCAAAAAAAGTCACACACAATAGTTTTTAAGTTTTATTTTACTATAGTTAAGTCTTAATTATGTAACTGGAGTTTTACTTTATGTATGGAATGTGGTAGAGAAGCTAATTTCCTTTTTCCCATAGGTAAAGTCATTTATCCTAACACCCCCTTAAAAAGTGCAACTTCCCCCACTAACATCTCTTTCACATGAGGATCGAATTTACTTGCATATGTGTATGTCCGAGATCTCTGTACTATTCCATTAGTCTGAGCTAATGCCAAACTATCATTGTTTCTGCCTAAGCTATTTTAAAGTGTTCTTCCTACTGTGAAGAGTGCATTT